TTTTTTTTTTTTTTTTTTTTTTTTTTTGGGTGGGGGGGTGTATCCCACTGCTGGGAATATACCCAAAGGAATGGAAATCATCAAGTCGAAGGTACACCTGTTCCCCAATGTTCATTGCAGCACTCTTTACAATAGCCAAGAGTTGGAACCAGCCCAAATGTCCATCATCGGATGAGTGGATACGGAAAATGTGGTATATCTACACAATGGAATACTACTCAGCTATAAAAACGAATGAAATACTGCCATTTGCAACAACATGGATGGACCTTGAGAGAATTATATTAAGTGAAACAAGTCAAGCACAGAAAGAGAAATACCACATGTTCTCACTTATTGGTGGGAGCTAAAAATTAATAAATAAATTCACACACACACAAAAACCAGGGGCAGGGGAGAAGATATAACAACTACAATTACTTGAAGTTGATACGACAAGCGGGAGGAGGAAGGGAGGTTTTGGTAAGGGGCAACAATAATCAACCACAATGTATATTGACAAAATAAAATTTAAAAAATAAAAATTAAAAAATAAATAAAAGACAAAAAAAAATAAGGGGTTTGTTAAAGAAATCTGACCTTAAGGAGCTGGTAAAACAGGCTAAGCTAGGCTGTTTCTTCTTCACCTGAGTCCAGGGCAGGTGGTTGGGAAGGAAGGTAGACGCGCAGTGGGGGAGAGCAAGGACCACTGAGACCTGCAAGCAACAAGCTGGGACCTGTGTCTGTCTCTTACCAGAACCCACATTGGCCTCTCCTGTTCTCTAAGCCTTCACCCTCCCTGCTGCAGATGACCTGGAGAAGCTGGAGCTCACATACCTGGCCTGGGAACGCTGAAGGCAGAGTCCACAGGAGCTGAGAAGCTGTGGGCCCAGCTGCTGCCAACGCCAGAGGGGCAGCACATCCGTGGACATGTGTGCGAGACGAACAGGGGCTTTCAGTGAATAAGCATGGCTATTGCTTTACATCCACTTCCACATCCCATGCAAATTTCTCTTGTGGCCAACCCTCACCAGACACAAACAGGAAAAGGAATTCTGCAAAACACAGTTCAGCTTAGCCAAGTTGACAACACTGTAAAACCTTATTTATGGTGTGTGGACACCATAAATATTAAACTAACTAGAAATTTTCAAAAAATGTTAAATTTACCTATTGTTCTTCTTTCTTCTCTGCTTCTGCCTGATAATAAGTAGCCTATCACCCTTCTACTTGGCACCCAAATCTAAGTTATACCATGTTTTTCCTGACTTCTTTATGAGAAGCAAAAGAGTTGGATGGAGAGCTGACTGGCTGAGAATTTCTTTCAGGCCATGCTAGGTCTGCCTTCTTGCTATGTTCAAACCACCAACTTCTGAAACAGTGAAAAAGCTCAGCCTTCTAGGCTTAGCCTGCAACCCATGTTGTGCCTTTATTTGTCAACCGTATTAAGTGCAGTGAGGATAATGGCACCCGAGCCCTGAGCTATTTTTATAGCTCTACAATCAACTGTTCATTCTTTGAAGGCTATAAGCATGTCTCTGTGTTCAGAGCTGGGTTCTGAATACCCTAGGAACTCAAAAAAAGACAATGATAGTAATTAAAAATGCCACTTCCTGAGTATTCATTGTATTATTCTTTCAACTTTTCTGCCAGTTTGAACTTAAAAAAAAAAAAGGAAAAAATAGTACTAAGGATAGGTAGGACCATATCATTTATTAAAATGTACTGTGAAATTATAATATTAAAACAATTTTTTAAAAATAGCATGAAATGGTAAGGAAAAAGATCAATGGATGAGAATATAGTCCAGAACTAGATCTTCAATTATATGGGAATTTAATACATGATAGAAGGGGTAGTGGAAATCATTGGGGGAACGTACATTATTCAGTAAATGTTGCCGCCCCCTCAATAACATTTGCTAGAACAACCTTAATTATTTAATAGGTTTATAAGTTATAAAACATCTTTCTTGATTTGCACCCTCTAATGAATTGCTCTAGAAACGGTTTAAGTCCCCAGTAAAATGCTGCCCATCAGAAGGCATTATAAAGACAACCTTCTCTCACCCGTGTGGCCCCACAAAGGTGGAAGGAAGAGCTCCTCACTGCCGGCTCCTTGCTTCCGACTCCTCCGACTCCTCCGTGGCCCCCGCAGGCCTCCTGCATCTCCGCAGGCCGGTGTCTCTACCCCACCTTCCTGAGGAGGAAGGCGGGCACCAGCCCAGGAAGGCTACCCTTTGAAAAAGGCAGATGCTTCCCTGGGCCTCTTCCCTTGGCTCTGGCTTCCAACTTGTCTTTATAGCTCAGAGAAAATACACAATATTTCTTTTGTTGGCCATTAGAAAATGCTAGAAACTACTAATTTTTTTCCAATGAATTAAAAGATTTTCTTTTTCCATTTAGCTTGAATGTTCATTCTGCTGCTGTCATCCAGTTGTTTTATATCCTACATTTTATGCTGGGTTCTAAGAACCTTACAAGATGGTAATTGATTAAAATCCAAGACTGGAATCTGATAAAGTTTAGCTGAGATATGCTAAATTAAGCGGCATCAATTTTAATCTTATAAATACACTGAAGGCTGTTTCTGACATCTAAGAAACACCTGCTGGGGTCTGGAGGAATGAAGGGAACAAGGTGGAAGCTGCAGGCCCCAGCGACGTCCTTAACCCCAGTCTGTTTGCCTGCCTGGGTCTGTTCCCTGCGTTCCTGGCTTTGCTTCTTCAGTCCTTTCTCCTTCCATGACAGCTTCTATGACATGCAAAGTACCGCCCTAAGCACTTCCGCTGTTCCTCAAATCGCTTCACTCCCTAAACTCTCACAGGAATCAAGCAAAGTTTTGAGTTTTTTCTCTTTAGAATTGAAGGGCCGGGCTGAGCCCGTGGCGCACTCGGGAGAGTGCGGCGCTGGGGGCACAGCAGCGCTCCCGCCGCGGGTTCGGATCCTATATAGGGATGGCCGGTGCGCTCACAGCGCTCACTGGCTGAGCGCAGTGCGGCCGGTCTCAAAAAGGACAAAAAATTTTTAAAAAGAATTGAAGGGCCGTTGGTGTGTCCCCAGCACAATGTCTGGCACATCAGATGGGCTCAATCAGTGTCTGCTGAATAAATGATCTCCGCAGCCAGCTGTCTTCATGTCCCACGCGTTTACTAGGCTAGTCAAAACAAATGCTGGGGGCCGGCCCGGTGGCGCACTGCTATAGTGCGCCGCTTGGGAAGCGTGGCAGCGCTCCCACCGAGGGTTCGGATCCCACATGCAGACTGGTTCCCGCTCACTGGCTGAGCGAGGCGCGGGAGCAACACCGAGGGCTGCGATCCCGTTGCCGGTCCCGGCCCGGTGCGGGGGCGACACTGAGGGTTGCGATCCGTTGCTGGACACGGGAAAAAAAAAAAAAAAACCAAATGCTGGTTAAAATTACAAAAATCGGTGTCCTGCCAGTGTTGAGGTAATAAAAAGAAACCTAAACTATGTCTGCATCAAGGAAACCAGTTATTAGCAGGAGATGAACCTGCTGAGGGGATAAAAGGGAGTCTTCAGTTTCCAGTGACAACACACAAGGGACACCATACCCTGGCACACAACAAAAAAACCAGTGTTTCATCAGGGCAGGAAGAGGGTGCCTCAGATAAAGACTTGATGTGATGGAATTAGTCAGGAACAGTAACAACACAGAGACCTAGATTAATTCATTTTTCATGTTTACAACCCATAACCCAGAGAACCTATTGAGTAAAATCTCATGACGGCATCAAGCACACAGAGCTTAAAACATTTCTGCCCTTCTCTATTTTTACGCTAGTAGCTAGACTAGACTATATACACACTCAATTTAAAAAAAAATCTACACAAAATAAAAATAGTTCTCAATGCAGAGTTCTTTATTTTTTTATTTTTATTTTTTTTTGTCTTTTTGTCTTTTTTCCGTGTCCGGCATTGGATCGCAACCCTCAGTGTTGCCCCCGTACTGGACCGGGGACCGGCAATGGGATCGCAAGCCTCGGTGTTGCTCCCGCGCCTCGCTCAGCCAGTGAGCGGGAGCCGGTCTGTATGTGGGATCCGAACCCTCGGACGGGAGCGCCGCCGCGCTTCCCAAGCGGCGCACTATCCAGTGCGCCACCGGGCCGGCCCACAGAGTTCTTTAAAGAAATCATAACAATTCAAATGTTCCAACTTTGGTTATCACCAAAAATTAGGTTCATTTTGCACGGGGAAAACACATGAAGGGAAGGAGCAGGGCCAAGTCGGTTTTTGTGCCAGCCAGCCAGCTTCACATCCACTCCAGGGAGCTCCAGAACCCCCGAGCTTCCGGCCCCGTCAAATGGCAGGACCCTGGCTCTGAGGGTGTTGGGGGTCCGTGCGGGCCAGCCCGCCCACGGGAGGAGGCCGCTACAGCTTGAGCTCGCGGTCGGGCTTCATGCTGAAGGGCTCCAGCCTCTCGCTCTCGGGCAGCAAGCTGTTGAGCCTCTCCATCAGCGGCACCGTCTGGTCGATGCCCATCTGGATGCGGCGGAGGAGGGCTGACATCTCATTGACTTTCTGGATTTGCTCCGCATATTTGGCATATCTTTTCTGGCGCTCCTGCATGAAGCTAAAGAGGGTTTCTACGGACAGATCCATCTGCAGAAGGGAAAAAGAAGTAAAATATGTTAAACTTTGTATAAGCGAGTCCTCTCCAGAGGGTCAGGTGTCCAGCATGAGGCGCAGAGCCCCACAGGTCAGGTGGAAGCTGCCCAGTTTTGCAGGAAGCCCTTCAAGGACACAGCTTCATTGACGCTGCAGAGGAGGACTAACAAATGACTGCCCCGGCTCTGTGTTTTGGGAGCGTGAGCTATTCAGGCCTTGTTGAAACCCTGGGATTTCTATCTCTGTCCTTCTACATGAAAGAATACTGGGCGTGGAAATCACACAGAGCAGGGTTGTAGTCTGGCTCTGCTACCTGAGGTGCTAATACTTATCCTTTCTGTCTCATCCTTCTCTGCAGAAAGCAAGGGACTAATTCCAGAGGTGCACAGTCATGGTAAGGACTAAATGAGATCACACATGCAAACACATCTAGCATACAACTCAGCATGATCAGAGGTACTTTAAAACTAGGTCTTCGTTCCCTCCCTCTCTTCCCTGAATGGCCGCAGTGTGGCCATAACTCGGGGGGAACAGCAGGGGAAAGGGTGGCTCTCCCTGCAGGACCAACAGTGCCCACCAAGGCTCCAGTCCGGACAACAGACCACACCACTGTTTGTCAAACTGTGAAGACATCCTCATGCACCCTTATCCCCATTAAACAAACTTCAGGATCTAGGCTCCCCTTCTTCGACCTCTCTTTTTCCCCTGATAAAATGGAAACTATCATCTGGATAAAAAGAGGGAGGACACCTCCTGCATGTCGGGGGCCTGTACCCCCTCCTCTGCATGGACCCCACATCCACCCGGTCACCCCTTGTTTCCCTCCCAGACCAGGGAAGAAGCGGTTAAACAATGAAGACCCTCATTTCCATCCCAGAGTTTCAAAGGCCACTTCAGCCTTCTTTCTTGTCTGTTCTAGGATCACCCCCTTCCCAACCCCAGCATGATGCAAAGTGCTTAATGCATGTCACCACAGAGACAAAAACAAAAACACATACACACAGGAGACCAAAGCCTGCACCAAGAAAAAATAACCAGTTCTATTTTTATTTTGTACTGGGGGGGAGGGGAGGCGCGGGGGCAACATTAGTGCATGTTTTCTCTATGTTGGCTCTCCCCTTGTTTTGAAATGCCTAGGGGACAAAAAGAGCAGCTAGTGGGAGGGGGCACAGGGAGAGAAAAATAAAATCCATCTGAATGGGTAATTCCAAATAACACAGAAACAATTTATGCCCTCAGGGGTTCTCTGCAACCCTGTTCAGTCCTTCAGTACTTTGGAATCCCTGAGCCAGTAAATTACAGTGTCATACCATTCAACCACCAGGGGTTTCAGGATGCCAATTCAATCCAGCACCTAGAAATACTCCACCTTCTGAGAGATGGTGGGTGATGTGCGAGCCAGCTGGAATCCTCGTAGGAAACCAGCACAGCTCACTGAACTGCCCCTCCAGAATTCAGACCCTTCTCGGGTTATCACATTTCACTTGCCAGGGGCATTCACGGCCCTCCGCCCCCAAACTCTGCCAGACTAGACAGACCCTTGAGGGGTTTATGTGACAGACCCTTGAGGGGCTTATGGCCTCCAAGGCTCTAACTTGTGTCTACAGTCCTTGGCCATCAAGCTGTCCCCCCCCCGATTCATATCCGATCAGTTTTTATAACCACCTTTGTGAGGTAACTGTTCAAAAGGCACCTCCCTGCACAATTCCACGGACAGCTGGGGCCCATGCTCAATATATCCAGAGCTTTTTCCCAAAACCACGGTATGCTTAGGTGAGTACATGTAATTCAGTCATGCTCACTGCACATGCTTATGTCATGTCGTTCAAGAGTCATGTCCATTACAGTCCACGGAAGAAAAAAAACACGAGGAAACCTGAGATTGAGTGGCCTCCAAGGTCTCAAAGTGACACAACTAAGATGAGAACCCACATCTCCTAAGTCCAGCACCTTCCTTTTACACATATTTCCTAACTGAGAGACATCAGTGCTACATGAGACTTTAGTGGGTACATTAAAGAACATCAAGTCAGGGCCGGCCCGGTGGCGCACTGCTACAGTGTGCCGCTTGGGAGCATGGCGGTGCTCCCGCTGAGGGTTCGGATCCCACATGCAGACCGGTTCCCGCTCACTGGCTGAGCGAGGTGCGGGTGCGACACTGAGGGTTGCGATCCCGTGGCCGGTCCCGGTCCGGTACGGGCGTGACACTGAGGGTTGCGATCCGTTGCCGGACACGAAAAAAGACAAAAAGGAAAAAAAAAAAAAAAGAACATCAAGTCATATGATGGGAAAATTATTAGCTTAAAATTCTTTTTCCCATTTTTTGATTGCTGCAAAGAAAGTCTCAATTTGGTGCAAGTAAGAATTTAATACCTGGCAAAGTGTGATAACACTGGTGATGCCTATTTCTGATGTCCCTGCCCTTTGCCCTTTTGAGGCAACATTGTCCCTGATCCATACTCCCTACCTTTGCTCTATGAACCCCAGTTACACACTTATTTTAACACATTTGATATGACTTTAGGCGATAAAACAGTATCTAATGCAATTCTGAATCTTACCATTTTGCCAGTCTGGGAACACATCCCTATTGGCCTTTCCCTATTAGGCACACAGATTCTGACAGGATAGCATATATGCTAATTGTCCTATTCCTGACAGAGACGACGATGATATCTAAGATTCCCTCAGTGAACACACCACAGTCATTCAAAAGACACAGCTTAGGCAAGGCAATCTCACCATGCCAGCTGTAGCCAAGGGCAACCACGGAAGCCCTCTGGGAAAGGGACAGTCAAGAGTTTTGCCCACTGCTCTCATCAGTCCATCATCTACCAATCAAACAGTGGTTAAGAACGAAGGTTCTGGAGTCAGACTATCTAGATTGAAGTGCTACCCTCTATTTAGTATCTATGTGATTGTAGAAAATTACCTAGAATGAAGATTCCACAAGGGCAAGGATTTTGGTCTATTTTAAACCCTGCTATATTCCCAGTACCTAGCACATAGTATATCCTAAATAAATATTTGTTGAATAAAGGTATGAAAGTTTATCTAAGCCTCAGTTTCCTCATCTGCTAAGCAGTGGGGATAACAGCAATGGCTACTTTATTGGACTGTCAAGGATGAAACAAGATGCTGCATGTGGAACACTTACTCTACTGCCCAGCACACAATTAGGCCCTGCTGAGCATGAGCTATTAATACACACAGTCAGTGGACATTCACTGAGCACTCTCATGTGCCGCGCACCACGCTAGGTCCTAAAGATACAGACACAGAGAACTGAAACTTACACCCACACAGCTTACCACATACATTGACATGACTTTTCTTTTCCATTGTCTTTGTTAACATAACTTTACTATTCCAGGAAACTTAGGCTCAGAAAGATAAAAAGTTGCAAATAACTTTGTTTCAGGAACTTCCTAAAAACCCAGTTAAATGAACAAACTATTTGATTTTCCAATGGACAGCAAGTGACTGTTTATTCTCTAAGACTTTTGCCTCAAAACCCTCGCCTTGCTGTGCCCACATGACTAAGTTCTCGCCAGTGGTATGTTTACGTAGAAGTCTCTCTTGGTGGCTTCTGGATACCTTCCTTGAAAGTTAGCGCATATGCACTCTTCTCCTTCGTCCCTTCCTCCACTCTGCTGATGCTGAGATGCAAGTGAGGTCCACGTGCAGCATGAGGCCAACTAAAGTCACATCCCTGGGCTGGCGGGGCCATGAGCTAGCGAGAAGCTTAGGTTCCCGAGGACATAGGTGGGTAAGAGTGGCACCAGGCCTGAGAGAGAAGAATAAGCTTTCATCTTGTATAGGCTGCTGTCATTGTGCATCCCTGTAACACTAGCTGAATTCTATCTCATGTTGATAGGAATGCATGGGATAAAGCCCCGCCCTCTCATTTCAAACCTTGCCCTGTGTGTTCATATACCACCTCCAGCAGCAGCAGCACAGTTCAAAGGACAGGTGAAAAAGAGGGGAGATTATTTTGAGTATAACCGCTGGCTTCTCTAAGGTCTTAGACATCTGTAGAATGTGCTCAAGTTTGTTTCAAATACCTCATATGCACAGAGTGGGCTCAACGGCCTACCTGGCTGGACCCAAAATATCAGCAAATCAAATCTGGAAATACACAAAGAGAATAATACATTATGACCAAGTGATGTTTATCACAAGGAGACAAGCTTTTCCAATATCTGAAAATCAAAGTAATGCACCATTTCCACAGAATAAAGGCTAGAAAACATATGATCATCTCAACAGATGCTGAAAAAGCTTTTCAGATTCAGTATACATTCATTATGGAAATTTTCAGCAAACTAGGAACAGAAGCAAGCTCCCTCAACCTGGTAAAGAGCACCTATGAAAAACCTACAGCTAATACCATAGTTATTAGTGAAAGACTTTTGTTCCTAAGATCAGGAACAAAGGCAAGGATGTCCACTCTTACCACTTCTATTCCACATTGCAGTAGAGGTCCTAGCCAGTGCTGTAAATCAATAAAGAAATAAAAAGCATAGAAATCAGAAGGGAATAAATAAAAAGGCCTTTATCTGCAGATGATGTGATAGTATACTTAGAGAATTTTAAAGAAGTGAATTTAGTAAGGCTGCAAGAGACACAGTCAATATACAAAAATCAATTGTATTTCTATATAACAGTAAACAACTACACAATGGAATAAAAGAATACTCTTTACAATTACTTCAACAACGTGAAATACTAGGGCCGGTCTGTGGCTTACTTGGGAGAGTGTGGTGCTGACAACACCAAGCCAAGGGTTAAGATCCCCTTACTGGCCGGCCGTCTTTTTATTTATTTATTTATTTATTTATTTATTTTATTAATAATTTTTTAAAATGTGAAATACTTAGGAGAAAATTCAATAAAATATGTACAAAACCAGTACACTGATATTGCAGAAACACTGCTGTGGAAAATTAAAGGAGATCTCAAAAAATGTACAACTATAGCATGTTCACGGACTG